CTTCCACCCTCACCCAATCCTATAACCAAGGGTCTTCCAGCCTAGGCTGCAAGGTAAGACGGGTGATTTAGCTGTGATGATAAAGCCTAGTCCTAGAACCCTTGGATTCAAGGAGAGTCACACAGTATTTTAAAACTTCCCTTCCTTTATTGGAAATCCACCCCTCCCCCAACCCCAATTCTCATCTACTTTTAGGGGTAAAAGAAGCTTAGCTCCTGGATAGTTCCAATACTTTTACAATGAAGAAGTAGAGTAAATGGTCTGCTCAAGGTCACATGTCAGTTTGGTGGTAGAAGAATTACACAATAAGAGTGTTTTCTTTGACTTCTTATGGATTGAACAGAATTTGCTAGGTCTTAGCCATTCTGCAGATAAAACATCAACATGATATCCCTGTGATAACTACCTTCCCCCCTTTCTCCCCCTTAACTTGACCTTAAGGTGGAGAGGAAAATGAACTCCCAACTTCCTGGAATGCAAGTCCCATGTAGATTTCTCTGGGAAGAATGTTGAGCACTTAAACCACATACACACTTGGGACTACCCTTCAGCTAGGACACATCAGCATGAGCAACAGATCAAAAAGAGACTTTTTCAAAGTAGGATAGAAGAAGTTTTAGCACCTGTGAGGCTTGAACTAAAGTTTTCACTGAAAGAAAATAAATGGCTCTGAATGCCTGGTGGTTTGTGCTCAGCATTATAGCATTATTATCACAGTTAAGACACCAATATTGAGAGCTCACTCAAGAAGACAACTAAAAACTTCTGCCCAGAAAATGCCCAGAGTTTCCCTTATAAACCCCCTTGCACACCAAACACAGCTCCTTCATTGCAGAACATGAAAAAGGCTGGTAAAGAGAATTTTGAAAATCACACACGGCGGTAACAAGCCAATGAACACAACACAGGAAACAACCTATGTGTCAGGTGGCACTACCCTGAAGGAAAAGCCTCAGTCTCAGACTTGAGACTGGAAGAGAAGTTTGGTTTTGAGTTCAAAACAGAGTACATACAATTCACTCCACTTACTATAAGGAAGGTTTTGGCAAATAGTGACTTTCAGACCTTCTTCAACAGGATCATTTCTCCTGAGAGCTTTCTTTTATGAATCTTTCTAGGAGAGACAAAAAGTAAAGTGATGGGACCAGCCTTCATATTAGCGGTTGCTGCCTGGAAGATGGACCATAAAGTGTTTGAATTTAGGCTGTTCTTGTTGGCATGTAACACAAGAATTGTTTTACCTCATTTCTCCTTATGTTCTCATCCAAAAGACACAAATATGTTCTATTCCATTGTGAGAGTGTTCCAAAATGCAGCTAGGTCTACATTTATGTGTGTATTTGAAGGGAAATAAGAGATAGGAAAGTGATGGGGAGAGTTTTCAGCTGTATGATTTGGGTGATTATCTTAAATGTTACTGTTCTGAGCTGGGAGTAAAGCAGGATCAAGTGCTTTTAGATAGAGCCTCCCTGATTTTCTTATAATTCCAGGAGCATATCTGTCCACCTAGGACAGATTTATAATCTGGGAGCCACTCTTTTCCTTAAGGAATTACTGAAACCATGTTAAAGAAGTTTCTTTCCCTTTCAAGGTATGGTTTAAGAATCGAAGAGCTAAGTGCCGCCAACAGCAGCAGCAACAGCAGAATGGAGGTCAAAACAAAGTGAGACCTGCCAAAAAGAAGACATCTCCTGCCCGGGAAGTGAGTTCAGAGAGTGGAACAAGTGGCCAATTCACTCCCCCCTCTAGCACCTCAGTCCCAGCCATTTCCAGCAGCAGTGCTCCTGTGTCTATCTGGAGCCCAGCTTCCATCTCCCCACTGTCAGATCCCCTGTCCACCTCCTCTTCCTGCATGCAGAGGTCCTATCCCATGACCTATACTCAGGCTTCAGGTTATAGTCAAGGATATGCTGGCTCAACTTCCTACTTTGGGGGCATGGACTGTGGATCTTATTTGACCCCTATGCATCACCAGCTTCCTGGACCAGGGACCACACTCAGTCCCATGGGTACCAATGCAGTCACCAGCCATCTCAATCAGTCCCCAGCTTCTCTTTCCACCCAGGGATATGGAGCTTCAAGCTTGGGTTTTAACTCAACCACTGATTGCTTGGATTATAAGGACCAAACTGCCTCCTGGAAGCTTAACTTCAATGCTGACTGCTTGGATTATAAAGATCAGACATCTTCGTGGAAATTCCAGGTTTTGTGAAGACCTGTAGAACCTCTTTTTGTGGGTGATTTTTAAGTATACTGGGCTGGACATTCCAGTTTTAGCCAGGCATTGGTTAAAAGAGTTAGATGGTATGATGTTCAGACTCATCTTCTGATCAATGTCCTGGGAGGCATAGAAGGAAAAAGAAAGGCCTTAGAGGGGCCTACCAACCAGCTACCTGAAATGGACAAACCAATCTACTTAATACTTAAGATCCTGTTATAGTTTTAGATCATTGGTTTTCCTGATTCACAAAGTGATCGAAAGCATTCTAGCCATGTGCAACCAAATACCACCAAAAATAAACAAGCAGAACTAAATTGTGAGGGGAAGGAGGGAAGGACATAGCTTTCTTAAGCAGAGGTGTTCCAATGTTTTAGCCAATCCTTGGTTGAATCTTAGGAATGGACAGTGTCTCAAGCTCACTCACGTTTCATGACCAACTGGTAGTTGGCACTGAAAAACTTTTCAGGGCTGTGTGAATTGTGCGACTGATTGTCCTAGATGCACTACTTTATTTAAAAAATAATGTTCATAAGGAGTCAATATGTAGTTTAAGAGACAATCAGTGTGTGTCTTATATAAATGGTACATCTGTGGTTTTTAATCTGTGCTAGACTTCAAAACTGTGATCTCCTGTTATTGTATGCAACCTTGAACTCCACCTCTGCAGGGGTTCTTCTGTGATTAAATAGGTTATAATTATAAGTAAATTCAGAGCAACTGAGTACTTATCTAAAAAGATTACCTTTGGCTGGAGGTGAGCTGCACTGAAAACTTTACAACAAAATGTCTCTGGAGAAGGAGAGTAAGAGAAGAGAAAAAAGGACACTAATTCATCATGTAATTTACTGTTGGTAAACCTAGCAGTAAAGAGACATTGGTCAATTGCTCTGACCCTGATGAATTTATAAGCTGAGATCATCGTTGTTTATGCTTGCAGATGTTAACTGGAAAAGTTATATATGCATAAACCTTTCTTCCTGATTTGGCAGATATGTATAATTATATTAAAATGGTTCTAGCACAACATTGGGTCCCGCTTAATTTTATACCATTATTTGTGAATGAGAAGCCCACATTGAGCCACTCCTCTCTTGGATCAGAGAGGGAATTAACAAACGTTGTTGTTTTTTTAATTGGGGGGGTGTGCTAAATATGAATGACTAAGATATGAATGATTGGTATGTAAACTTTTTGTGACTTTCATTAATACTGTTCTGAAATTGAATATAGAGAGCCTAACAGTCAAAACCCCTCCTTGCTTTTCCCTCCCTGCCAGATACCCTAATGATTTCTTAGGCACCTTACTAGTATGTCTTAACATAGATCAATTTTTTAAGCAAGAAGTGACTAACTGTAGTACCTCAGAGAAAATGTGAATGACAAGAATCCCTTCTTTCTGTTCTCTTATTTGATTAAGGGATTTTTTTTTTTTAAGTTCCAAAAAAATCTGAGGTAAACATGAGAGGGAATGTAATCAGAATCTGAAAGCAATTCAGGCAGAAATAATTTCTGAACAAAAGAGTTTCAGAAAAGTTTTAAAACGTATAATTTCAGTACTTGAACATAAGGCATTCTGGTCTTTTTTTGTTTGTTTGTTAAAGAAAGTGCTAAGGGAGAAAAAAAAGGTCCCTTCTGGTTATACCTGCATTTTGTAAACTAACCATGAGAAAAGACAAACAGGCCAATGATTATGGTGCTCCTCGGGTAAAAGCAATATTTAGTTTCATTTTACACTCCTTATGCTCTTCAGTTTGACCAAAATGAAGTAACTCTTGATTGTAACTTTTTAAAATGAACATTAGCAGTTGCAACCATTTTGTTTTCTGGCTAATTTTCCCTGACTGCGCATGCTCTCTGGAGCCCTATATAATCTTGTCTAATAATTGTTTTTGTTTTGCTGCTAAAGGAAATGGAATAGTTTACAGTCAACAAGTGAGGCACAACTTAATGGCAAGATTTTTCCAGTTCTTATTGATAATATTCACCCTACCATAGTTTAGACTGGAGTGAGATTGGGGCGGGGAGAAGACACCAGCATGAATCTTTCCTTTAAAGTCCAGATTCTGGGTCTTATTCTCCCAGATTTTCTCATGCAGCAGTAAAGAGACCCAAAATCACTTCTCACACTGCCTTAGGTTTCCGGAATGCCCCACAAAGGGACAGAAGAGAGCACCCTCTCTACAAAAACAATAACGACAAACAGCGGAGTACTCGGCAAGTAACTGCAGTTGAGTTTCTCTCCCGGTATTTTAAAAAAGGAGGACATCAGAAAAAGGTGCTGAGCCCCCTCTGAAACTAATTTTTCCATCACCTTTGCACAACTCCATTTAACAGACCACGGAGTTAAATCCATCTGAATTGACGGTGAAGTAGAAATGAATTCCCCATGACCACGGGCAAGAGAGGGAGGGTCAGGGAGGCGGGCAGCTAGCGCGGGCTCCTTCGTCCAGAGTTCTGGTCACCGCGCCCAGCCAAGACCCGGCTTAATAAAATTAAGTTGGTACCGAAACGATGCCACCCTCCACAGGCGTCAGGGAGCTATTTCAACTGTCTGGCGACCAACAAAAACTTCAATGTTGATGTAATCTTCGTTTTGAGGAGTGCAGGTGAGGGTGGGCTTTACAAAGATCTGTTGTCCCAAACCTTTATCTTTCCCGCAAAGATTCTGGGCCCTTTGTATTTCACCTTGGGAGTGTTTCGCCCCTTCAAAGATAAGAAGAGAAATCCAATCAAGTCAATTAAGTTCCGGCTTTCGAAACGTCGGAGTTTGAGATAATGGTCAGTTTCCTCCACCTCCCCTCCCATCTCTTCCCTCTAATCTCGCCTTTCTTGCGGCTCTGGCCACCCTCAGCCCGGGAGGCCCGCACGGGACTCCGAGGACTTGGCGCCGAGGTGCGGGCGAGGGGGCACTAGACCTTGTCCACCGCGAGTTTTCAGGGCTGCGGTTTCTAAGTCTCGATGGCCCGATCGGAGTTAGCTGGGAAGAGCACTCCCATCTCTGTCCCCGGGGCCCGTGGTCCAAGTGGCTCTCCAGGCTGGCGCCGCCCTCTGGGCCCCCCTCGGCCCTGCAGGCCGGGCTGGGGCGGCCTTTGGGGCTCTTGTCCTCCGGCTTCCCCTCTTTCTGGGCTGGCTCCGGCTCTGGTCGCAACCTCGGCCGAGCCGCAGCCCACCGCACGACCCGGTCCTCAGGCCTGCCTCGCGGCTCCGGGCGTGTGGGCTGCGGGGAGACTCGTGCGCCGCCGGCGCCGGGAGGAGCGCGGCCTGCTTGAGACCTGAGGGCAGGCTTCGGGGTCAGCCGTGGGCCTGGGCGCACCTGGCCCGTGACTTCACGGCCTGGCTGAGTTCGGGGGGGGGGGGGGGGGCGGACGGACTTCGGTGGTGCGTGTGTGTGGCCAGGCCAGGAGACGAACGCCCGGAGCTAGAAGGAACGGAAGCCAAGGTCGAAGGAGAAGAGGGCGATCTGGGCCTGCGGGGCCCGGGAGAGGGGGCCAGCTAGGAGAAGACGGCGCGGCGGGGGCCCTCAGCCTCTTGCCGTCCTCGCCCTCTCCCTGGGAGGAAGCACCGCAGACGGCTGGGTCTCCCACTGCCGGTGAAGGGCGAGGCCGCCGCCGCCGCCACAGCGGGGACTCCCGCCGGTCCTTGGGCCTCCGGTGTCCTGCGCAGACGTGGCGCCTAGGTGGGGTCCAGCTGAGCCTGCCTGGGGCCCCAGGGATCCTCCAGGAAAGTCTGGGGCTTGAGCTAATGGGTCTGGGTGAGTTCTGCCCTGCCTGGGGCTCCTCGGCTCTGAGCTGAGCTTTTTAAGGGGGAGCCTGCGGGACTCGCGGTTACTCTTGGCGCAACCCTTTTCTCCGACGTTTTAAGATTTTGTCTTTAAACCAGACACCCTGACTTCCTTTTTAGACCCGGCGCAGCACTCAACTGCCCTTAAGGGCGGAGGCCAGTTCTGGGAGAAGAAAGCCTTGCCTCTGGCGTCCCGGACAGGTCCGGGTGGCCCGTTCCGGTTACCTGCAGCGCAGGGCCGCAGTGCCGCTCCCGCCTCCACTTAACCAGAAGCCGGCGCTCGGGCGACCCGGCGGCGCGCACCGCAGGTTTGAATCCGCATCTAACTAACACCCGCTTGAAAACCTCACTGCTGTTACCGGACAAAGCTGTAACCCAAAACCAGGCGTTCCAGTGTGAGGTGGTGGTTTATCGCATACAGAGGCGTGTTTTAATCATGCAAAGGAGAAACACAAAGGAATCGGGCCGGAGACAGGCGCATCCCACACAAATGGAAGCTGAAGTCTTAGAAAATAACCAAAATGCGGAGATGCAGGGTCAGGTGCAGCCCTGACCCCGGCTTGCTTCACGCCTTCCTCCAAAACCTTTACACAGAACAGCTGTCTGTTACCACAAAGGGTCCACGCCCCCCGTCACGCATCTGCATGCCCAGATCTGCGACCAGAGTCTTGAACACTTCTTTTTCCTCTCTTCAACGGCCAGAACCCTGTCAGCGCAGCGTGCCCTGATAAAACCTGATCCCTCCAGTCGCCCCATTTGCGCCCTTAGGTTAGCATGATACAAAAGATGGGGAGCCCCTGGGACGTTCCCCTGGGATGGAGAGAGCAAAACCCCAAACAAAACCCACCCCGATGTTTTTCCGTATTAGGCTCTGAAACGGCACAGATTATGGGATTTGTCTCGGACAGAATTAACACTACATGTGAAACCATAGTGCTCCTGTGCATTGGGACACATTGTATACCATTGCTTGAAGCATCTCTTCTAAACTGCCTGTTAATAGCAACACGAGGCCTTAAAATAATAAGTGGGTTTTCGGTTTTAACCTGATTAAAATGAAATTTCGACACTGTAAAGGGCAGTTTTTCTGGTGGAAACAGTTCGAAGGAAACGGAACCCATCACAGGGCTAGAGGAAGCTTTTGTATGGGGAAATGGCTGGAGAGAAGGAAGCAGGCATGCATTTAAAAGGCCTTCCCCTATTCAGTGGTCCCCACAGGCCAGGGAGGTGCCCCCAGTTCCAAAGAGAACTAGCCAGACTTCCTCTCTTGCAAGCACTGTGCTTTATATTTAAAAACCAACCTGCTGTTGACTGCAAACAAACAATGAGCAAATTCAAATAAAGGAGCCCTACCAAGTCCAACCCATTTGGTCAAAGATAACTGCAGGTGCCAGAGAGGCCAGGCTATCACTAGGGGGAGGGTCAGCTTCAAATTTTGTTTTTCTCCTAGAGGGAAAGTCGAACTGCATGAGGTCTGTGACTCACTTTTATTCCTTAATCTTCACCATCCTTTACCTTCAATTCTCAGTGGAAGGAAAACAACAAAGGGGGAAAAAAGAATGCCATAGCAAATATAATATTAAGAGGCCAAAGTTTGAATTCACTTCTGTTTCAGTACCACAAGGGGGAAAAAAGCTATCCCAGAATCAAATGGGATCCTCTGTCCACCTCTCCAGTGTCCTAGACTGAATTTGCCTACTTAGGAGTGGGAATGTGGCATTTTGGATTAAAGTAGGCTTGTTAGCCTACTTGACATTACTGGAAAACCTTTCCGGCAGAAGACTTGAAAAATAAGATGAGAGTGTTTAGCAGCTATACTATTGCCTTTTTGTTTTTCCCCTTTGAACTGCCCATGATGGGACCCACAGAAGCAGTAGACTTTGCACCTGCAGGTCTGTTAACCCTCCAACCCTGGTCCCCGAGTTAAAGGCCAGAAAATGTCCCATAGAGACAGAGATTGGGTGGACTGAAGTTTCCCCCTTAGGCCCTGCCTCCAGTCTCTCAACTGGAATCTCCAGAGGCCTCAAGCTACTCTGAAAATCACTCATAGCAGCCTCCAGTTGTTAAAATCTGTTCCTAGAGCCAATAGTCACATTTTAGGCTCCTGGGCCATTAATAAAAATCGCCTTAACATTCAAATGGCTCTAAAATGCGTTGATAGCGGATTACTGGGCCTAATGGACGTCGTGTGTGATAACATGGCCCCTGAGCAGCAAGGTTCTGGAGTGGATGTCCGACCACAGCTTCCTGATTATCAGCTTACAGCCAAACCTCTTCTTAGCTGCGATGCTCTTAAGAAGCGTTCTTTCGCAGAGCGGAGAGAGTCTTCTGTGTTCTTCATTTACTGTATTTAACTACCGCATAGTGCTCTGGAAACTAGAGGGGAAAACTTGCCTGGAGGCGTTAGTTCACCCTCAGAAGTTAAGAGGGGCGGGTCGCCAGCCATTGCCCCTCCCATCCCGGCTTTTAAGGGAGCTAAGCCAGAAAAGCGGTGGCCGGGGCAGATCGAGGGCCTTGCCTGAGATGTGGGTTTGCCCTAAATCTGGGGCTTCCTCCGCGGGACTCTTCGCGCCGCCTCAGAGCAGAGCCTGTGAAGAGGCTGCCTGGCTAGTTCTGACAAGGCCTGTGGCGTCCCGAACGCTCGCGGAGCTCCCCTCTTCTCCTGCAGCCCGCGGGGAAGCCTTCCGGCCAGGACGCGAGCAGCCGACGGCGCTAAGGACGCCCTGGCAGCGGCCGCGGCGCCAGGGAGGGAGGGGGTTCTCGGGTTTCAACGAAAAAATGTGGCAAGTGCACCGCGTTCCCACTCTCCAGCCCCACCTTTCACCCCGCAAACTAGGCGGAAGACACCCCCCCCAAAAAAAAAGCAGGGCCTTCAGGGGCTGCAAAGTACACCCGGGCATCGCCCCAGGGGCCTCCCCTGCCCGCGCCCCGTCCTCAGACTAAGGTCATTTGGCGAGGCCGAGAGAGTACCAGGGGACGCCAGGAGTTACTAGAGTGGCTGAGAGGCAGCCTACGGACCAGCTGCCTGGGACATCAAGATCACGACCCCCCGACCCCCGCAACCCATGCAGCCGACGGGCACCAGCCCCGGAAGTGGGCCTGGAACCCACAGCGCCGCAGCCATGCTCCAGGTCACACGTGGTGCCGCCGGGTCCCCTGCGGAGCGGTAGACGGTGGGTCACACCCACCCGGGAGAGGCGAGGCTTGGTCCACAGGGCATTGTGCCTCCTCGCGGAAGCGGGGAAGGCCCAGGAGCCCGCGATCCGTGTGCTCTTCCTTCTCCAACCGCATCCATGGTCCTTACGAGGATCTGATGGGGGTGTGATGTAAGGGCGTCGGGAGATTCCCCTCAGCCAAGGGCGCATCGCACACAAATGGCAGCTGAAGTCTCTGCGCCCACGTGGCCGTTGACCCATCAAAATCATTGCCCCGCCCCTCGCCGTCCTCACGTCGTGGGCGCTCTTCTCGCCTCATGCCTTGACCGCAGCCCCACACTGGGCGGGCTCCGAAGTCCAAGCTTCCTCTCTCAAGCTTCTTGTGATGAAAGATGCAAGAACTGAAATAGGCTTGTCCTTAGAGCTCGGGCCTGGCATAGCCCCTGTCTACCGCGCCGGTCCTGAGCTAGGAGCCGGGAACCGAGTGTGTAGGGCAGCGAGGTATAGCCGGCACCATCCCGGGGTCCCCAAGGAAGTGCACGCACCCGAGCCCTGAGAGCTTGGGCAGCGGGCTGGCAGGGGCTTCAGGATCCAACTTGCGGCCTTGCCAGCTGGTGAGTGGAGTGGCGACTTCGTGCTAGGGCGCTAGGGTACGTTTTGACGAGTGACTGAAAAGTCGTCTAAAATGAATTTTGAGATAGTTGTGAAGACTAAGGATGCACATGTAAAGGACTCCCCCGAGTCCTTCTTGGCCACTAATCTAAAAAAATTTTATAACTTTTGAGTTATGTTTGGTTAGGAATTTCAGACATTTTTACCTCTCTGGAAGTGGTAAGGATTTTTTTTTTAATGGTAGGCAGGTATTTGGGGCACTTATATATATTTATATGTGTAATATAGAAATTACACATATATACATGTGTATTACATATATGTCTAAAGTGAAATTAGGTTATTTTGGAAATAATCACATTTTAGGAATTTTAAATTAATCCAAGTCTCTAATTGAAATTTATTTTTCAGTAGATCTTGCTGATTAAGTGGATTCTATTTTTAATTTGGAAGAAGGAAATGGCAACCCACTCCAGTATTCTTAATTGGAAAATCCCATGGACAGAGGAGCTTGGCCAACTACAGTTCATGGGGTTGCAAGAGTCAAACACAACAACAGTTTTTTAGTCTGAGTTGGCCACTTCAAATTTTAGAAGGCTAACAAAGACTCAATCTGATAATTAACTTTTAGCAAAATCATGGCCTCGTTTGATCTTAAAATTGGACATACTCTAAGGCTCTCTAATTTTGAGATTGAGAGGACATGGAAAACTTGATACAAACATGTATTCACCATTTTCAAGGACAAATAATTGGCTTGATTAAACCAATAATCTTGATTTCTGCCCATTTTAAGAGAGCACATTGCTTTCTTTCTCTCTCTCTCTCTTTTCTGCTTTTCTTCATATTTATTGATAAAGATGCAAAGTATGTACTCTTACTCGAAGTTGTCTGAGATGGTATCTTTTTCAGAAATTCTTTTTTAAAAATATTTATTTATTTGGCTGGACCAGGTCTTAGTTGCAGCATGTGGGATGTAATTCCCTGACCAGGGATCGAATCTGGGCCCCCTGCGTTGGGAGCACAGAGTCTCAGCCACTGGACCACCAGGAAAGTCCCTTTAGAAATTCTTACCCCTGTGTTTCAGGTATCCTTTTGGGGATGGTTGTTTGTGAATAGATTTTAGAGGATAAGTAAATTAACTCAATTGTACAAAAATTTCTTTGGTTTGTGTGTTAACCTTTTTTTTTTATTCCTGGGCAGAAGATCTATAGCTTTCACCAGATTCACAGAAGGGTTTGTTGTTGTTTAGTTGCTAAGTCATGTTTCCAACTCTTTTGTGAGCCAGTGGACTGTAGCCCATCAGGCTCTTCTATCCTTGGGATTTCCCAGGCAAGAATCCTGGAGTGGGTTGACTTCCTCCAACCCACGAATGGAAACTGTGTCTCTTGCTTAACAGGTGGACTCTTTATCACTGAGTCAACTGGGAAACCCAAAAGGGTTTGTAAAAACTCCAAATTATTGGAGTTTAAAAACCAAGCCATTGGTTTTTATAGGTTGTGAATGAAGGGTAAACTTGGTAACAAAAAAGGTGACAGTCTTGTAAAATTTGAGTCTACTCTTAACTTTCAGAAACCTTTAATTTTCTTTAAACAAAATAATCTTAAAAGTCCCTTTTATTTCTAAATTCTACCTAGTTAGGCCCAGTTTGAATTATTGTTCATGCATCTATTTATGTATAACACATTAAATTAATGAATGAAGTCGAGAAGATTTATTCTAATAGTATTTTGCATGAAATGTCAAGTAGAAAATTTAAGCAAATATTTTAATGATTCAGATCCAAAACCCTTTTTAATCAAAACAATCAACAATAATAAGATATTTTCTGACTCTGATTAAATATTTCAGGAAATTTAATGTGAACTTGTTCTTTGTCTTTCTCTCTCTCAGTCAGCCAGTTCAGTTGCTCAGTTGTATCTGACTCTTTGTGACCCCATGGATTGCAGCACACCAAGCTTCCTGGTCCATCACCAACTCCCAGAGCTTGCTCAAACTCATGCCCATCTCTCTGCAAATACATAAATGTGTGTGCATATTCCAACCATGTCCAGGTTCCCAAATTTTTCTGTTGAAAAGTTTTTCATTTTCAAGCTTGACAACTGTCAAACATGGACAAAACAGTAGATAAGGGAGGTGTAGGACCTTCTGACTGAGTCAGAAGGAGGGCATGACTATACTATCCAGGAGAGGAATTCAAGATCAGATGGTATAATCACCTCTAGGGGATCCAGGATAGAATTTAAATTAAATACTTAGAGGCCTTTCGTCTGAAATAGCAGATCTTGCCCACTTTCCCCACTTAGAACTCCCCAGCTTACTTCAAACTTTGTCTGAGAGGATATCTTCCATTAATGCAAGAAGAAGTATAATCTACGGGTTTTTTAGCATTTGATCTTTGCACAGAGGCTTCCATTTAGAGGAACCATTGCAGCTAAGATTTGGATCTGGTCCATCAAATAGCCTGAACCGGGCGACCTCAGGCAAGTAGACGCAAGATACTAGCAATTTATTTCATATCAGCTCCCAAGCCATCACCAGATGATAACAACCGTTGGACACCGTTAATCTCTGTTTGACTCAAACTGGTGACCGCGAGGTGAAAGGCAGGGTGTTATCTCTGAGCAATTCGTGTGGCCTTCCACAGATTGCCAGTTGGGCCAATACAATTGAAGCCTCTTCTCCAGTGGTTACTTTAAAAAATTCATATCCAAAGTCTTTGGTCTTTGTTGGACTAGAAGGTAGGAGGGCTTTATCAATGAAAGTGCCCGAGGGCCAAGATGTAGGAGCTTAGAATCCAATAAAAATTAGAAAGGTTGAAAAGGTAACCTTGTGTGTTCCCGGCCCAATAAACTTTGAACAACACCGCTGTAACTATGACAGAAAAAGCCTCTGGAAACGAATGTTTTTGCCAAACAGTAGGGGGAATATGCACCTTAAATAAAAGGCAATGTTGTCCTATCTAGAGTTGGTTTCCTTATTTTGAAAATGGCATTTATTTTGCCGTCTCTAATAAGGTCAGTTCAGATCACCATATATTAACCTGGTATCAGTTCAGGGCTAGAAAGGAGAGTGGAAGTGGGCAGCCATGAAGAATAAAGGAAAGGAGTGTACTGAAAACCAAAAGCTGTCCTGTGTGTTGATGCCCAGAGGGGGTTGGCTAAATGACCTGCAGGGGAAATAAAACTACTACTATTTAAACTTTCGAATGTGTAGAGGGAAGAGTAGTAGTCTCATATTCCAGTGTACTCAGCTTTAGCTGAAGTCATAAAAACCTGCCATTACTACTTTGTGGAATTATTCTGCCCCCTGCTACTCCAATATACTAATTGTAATGATTCTATTTGATTTTGCTTGATGGCTCTAGAGAGAATTGACAGATTTTTTTTTTTAATGGAGAGGTTTCAAAAATACTGCAGCTATTTTAATAATATGTGTTTTAAGGTCCGTGTATTGGAAGTGGATCATTGATGGTAAAAGTAAAACCAAATTGTTTTAGGTATTTTTAGCAAAAAGTTCCTTTGAACAGGATCAAAGATCAGCTTGACTTATGCAGAACTTCAGTTATCAGCAGTGTCCCAGAAGCATCTCACTATATTGTTCCATAACTTCATTCCTACACTATTTATTTGCTGCCCTAGCTTTTTAATTAACTGGTATTTGCAAACCCTATTCTGTTGTTTGGTATCTTCTCCTCAAAATGATACACTAAATAAACCTAAGCTATAAATGCTAATCAGAGGATGAGTGCATTGTATACATTTGGTAAAGGGACACCCCTTATAAAGATTTACTTACTGGCTATGGTGAGTGTTTGTTGCTGTACATGGGCTTTCTCTTGTGGCGAGCAGGGTCTACTCTTCACTGCGGTGTGCAGTCTTCTCATTGCCGTGGCTTCTCTTGTCGTAAAGCCCAGGGTCTAGGGCACACAGCCTTCAGCAGTTGCAGCACATGGGCTCAATAGTTCTGGTGCATGGGCTTAGTTTCTCCGTGGCATGTGGGCTCTTCCCAAACCAGGGATCGAACAGTGTCCCTTGCTTTGCAAGCTGTATCTTTAACTACTGGACCACCAGTCACTGATGGCTAAAGTGGTGCATTTTCTAATATTGGGCAGTTGCCTAATTGATTGTGGGGAAATAAGACATAAGATAAAAAATGAAGGGTTGTTACTGTTTAAGATTGGCCTCAGCTCTAGTGTCCTAAGGATATAATGTTCAGAAAGCATAAAGAGAGTCACAGCATTTGCCTGGTCAGACAATAGGCAAACTCGTGTTCAGAGTATTTGCAAGGGCTTACAATTTCAGGATTATCTTTCTTAAGTATCTGTCTGCTCCATGAAGGGGTCTGGATAGGGTCCAGAACCTTAAAGAGGGAGAGTCTAGGCTTTTGTTCTCTTGTTTAGTACTGCCACTTCTTCAAGATGATGATGGTGAAGAGAGGATCAGTCTCCCTAATTGAAATGGGACATTTGCATATGTCTTAAATCAATAAGCAGAGCGTTGGACTTGGGTGATTTACTCAGCCTTTCAAAATCTATCCAAAGTGGCAAATTTACCACTTTCCAGAGGTCAGTTTTTATTGTAGGCCTTGAACTTTTATATCCATGTTGTCCATTGATAACTTGAGTGGATTTGGTGCTAAGGAATGTCTATAACTTC